ATAGGGATGAACGGGTTTAAGAGTTTTTAATAATTAAGTATCTATTAGAACTCAATGATTATCCTATATATATTTTAGATTTTTTATATATAAAATGAGATGTTTATCCTGTATTTGATTGTGTTTATCTGCAGTTAGTTACACGAATTCAGATATAGGATAAAATCGGATAGGGATGAACGAGTTTAAGAGTTTTAAGAGTTTTTAAGAGTTTTAGCTAAATGCTTTATAATATAGTATATATATATATATATATATATAGAGAGAGAGAGAGAGAGAGAGAGATAGTTTGTTTCAAATACAACCCGTTGCATTTGTACAACCAATGCAATCCAATAAATTGAGATATTTATGGAAATGATGAAAGTTCATTTATTATGATTTGAATATTTATGGAAGATGAATATGGTTCATTAATTATGATCAATACTTTATATTAAGAAACAATCAAAACTTCTATGAAATCACATATTAATCAAATGAAATGAACGGTTGAGATTGGGTTATATTGGTTGCACAAATGTCAAGGGTTGTATAATAACCAACCTATATATATATATATATATATATATATATATATATAAGTCGAATGTATATATTGCTATAATAAAAAATAAAAGTATAATGTCATAAAAAACAATTTGAAAATATATTGTCATAATAAGAAAAAACAAAAATATAATGCCATAATAAAAAAAATTAAAAACTATATTGTAGCCATATGTGTATATTTGGGATCAATGTGTATATTTGTATTTCATGATATATGAAATACATGTGTCTTATGCAAATGGAGTTAGGGTGTTACAAATAAATGTGAAAAAGACTAAATACCCTTGGACTTAACTGAGTTAACATAGTTTTTTGATTCTATTAGGGTGTGTTTGGTACATTGGAGAGGGACATGACAGAACATGACAGAGATCCATGTCCAATGTTTGACAAGAATTTTATGTGGAATACAGAAACAGAGTGGAACAAATTGGAACAGGCTTGTTCCACCCCTACCCCATTGAATAAGGTGGAACATATTTATATTTTACCAATATAACCTCAAAATAAAACTTAATTCTTTTCTAAAACATCGAACAAGTCTCTTTTTTTACATTTTAATCATTCTTTAAATTTTATTTATTGTATTTTACGTTTCTTAAACTTTCATTTATTGTTCTTAAAATATTATTTTTATACGGTTCTATATTTTTATTAATTTATGTAATTTATTATATATTAATAATAAAAAATAATGTAGAAAAGAGATAAAAGTAAAAATAGAAAACTATATCAACTTTTTATTTGGTGTCATTTTAATTGTTTTGACGAAACTTCAAATGATATACTTTGTTATAAAAAATAATTATTCTATCATAATTTAATAAATTACATAAATTAATTAAAATAAACAACTTATCAAGGGTAAATTGGTCATTTTACTTGTTCTGTTATGTTCTGTTCAGTCTAATCTTACCAAATATTGAACAGTTGTTCTATCATGTCTTGTTTTGTTCTGTCTTGTCATATCATGTCTTGTTTGGACACCAAACACACCCTTAGAGGGAAGGACTCAATAGGTGTAAAAATGTCAACAAGGAGTACAATATCTGTATTTATCTTGATTTTAGCACCACTGTGGATAGAAAGTTAAACCAAAGGGACCAAATCTGTATTTACTCCTATATGAAAATTTAAATAAAAATGAATTGTAAACCATAGGGATGAAAAAAACAATAAATTTTAAATCATAATGACGAAAAATATAATGATTTATAACTCATAGGGATAAAAATCGTAATTTCAAAACAAAATAAAAATTTTCAATAAACCATATGAGATAAAAACATAATTTACTCCAAAAAAAAAGATAAAGAAAATTAATAATATAATCACTCATTCTTCTTAACAAAAATCGTGCAAAAATATCTAAAAACCATATTAAAAATTATATCAAAAAAAAAAAAAAACCAAATAACCCAAATTTCATCTAGTTGAAATGAATTATATTCCGTTTTCAATTCTCGAACATATAGTTCAGTTATCGAAGAAATGGAACAATTTTGTTCAAATACATAACATGTTCAAAAATAAATGTTATAGAAGACGAGTTTAAACCCCTCTATTAGTCTCAGTCGCTCTGAATCAGCTCTAAAGTACCCGTCACAAGTAGTTTTAGGAGACGAGTAAATACAATATCAATCAAAGTTGTCGATAATCAGCCTTTGGAAATTATATTGAGTTTCCATTTTTTGGGGACATCCCAACATGCATGTGTGACATAAATCGATTAGGATGCTGGATGCTACCAAAACCATTTAAAGCAAAACAAAAATACAAACCCGACCCGACGACAAAAGCTATCACGTGCATGGCACATGCATGTCAAAAGTTGGACCAACAACACCATAACCAGAAATACACATTAATTATCACATCATCTTCATCGGTACTGCGCCCTTCATTAACTCCGCCATATATTCATCAACCCTACCACCTGCTCCCTCTCCCTCCGCCAACAAAATGGATATTGGAACACCTCCGCCGCCACCACCACCACCCTACATCGGAGCAACTCCCACCACCACCACCACCACCAACAGGCCTCCAGTTTACAACAACGGCGGTATTGCAGCAGACATTCCTCAAATACCACACCACCACCACCATCCATCCTCTCATTCTTCTTCGTCGTCGGCATCTTCGTTAATCATAGTGATGATAGTTATCTCCTCCGCTATTATCGTCTCCGCCACCGTCTACCTCCTTATCCGCTTTCTCTCTCGCCGCTGCAACCGTTCCCTCCGTACTACGTTTTCCCCCACTGACGACGTCGTTTCCGACAACAGGGATGAAAACGAGAACGTGCATCATCACGTGATCTCTTTTGGTAACAATGGAGTGGAGTCGCTTCCGCTCTTTAGATTTTCTTCACTCACCGGGAAAATCGCCGGCGGAGACTGTGCGGTGTGTTTATCCAAATTTGAAGGTGTAGATCAGCTCCGGCTTCTTCCATTATGCTGTCATGCCTTCCACGCAGAGTGTATTGATGCTTGGCTCAAATCTAATCAGACGTGTCCGCTCTGCCGGTCGACGGTGAATCCTACCGAAGACGATGTACTGAACAAAATAGTCTCGGCCTCCGCAGGCGGCGGTAGAGTCGGTAGAAACAGAAGCAACAGTTTTCGGATCGAGATTGGGAATGTTAGCCAGCGACGAGAACCTTCCGATTCAGACCGAAGGTCGTATTCCATTGGTTCGTACGAGTACGTACTCGACGACGGCTACGAGATCTCTGTGGAATCAACGCACAGAAGAGGCGGTTCCGACTGTACTTCAGTGGACAAGGACTCTACAGCTCCTGAACCGCCGGGACATAATTTAGCGGCGGAGGTCGGAGCTGGCGGCGGCAGTGGACGGCGTAATTGGTTGCGAGATTACGTGGATCGCGTCTCCGTTTCTCTCTCCTCACGTACTCAATCGCTTCGTGGTTCTGGAAGGTTCTTGACCGGAAACCTTCGCCGGAGTGAGACCGTGGATGAGTTTGAAGCAAGTCATGGTAGAGTCGGAGAAGAGATCAGCGAGCTTTTCCGGTGGCTCTCGGGGATATAACTGTAAATTCACAAATCTCTTTTAGCCATTTATGGAAACTCCATCTTTTGCTATCACCACTCTGAAAATAGTTTAGGGGTGAGTGGGATTTTAATTTTGATTTTTAATGTGGAAATATATTTTATATGTTTCATCGAAAATGGTTAAAATTAGCAATCATAAATATCCAATTCATGCACTCAATCAAATTTGGTATAAAATGCTACATTAATGCACATAAGAAGTTTATAAGCAAGCGATTACATTTTCAATATATTTAGAAGGGTATTCGTGCAATGTAACGAGATATATTTTGATTTTAATGTTTTATTTGGTTTTTTTGGTTTCTGTCGATGTTATAATACAGATTTGTGTGGTTTTGAACAAACAATAATGTTTTTCTTAATAAAATATAAATTTGAATATATCATAAAAATTAAAAAATTATAAAAGTTTTCATTTTTTATGTAATTTATTTAATTCAATTTTTTATTATAATTTAATTTAGGTTTAATGATGAAATAATCTATTTTTGGTTTAATAGTAAGATTTTTATAAAGATAACAACTAATTATCCTGCTAAAACTCAATAATTATCCTAATTATGTTTTAGATTTTATATTTAAAATAAAAAAAAATTATCTTGTATTTGATTATATTTATCTATAGTTAGTTATACGAATTCAGCTTAATGAGTTGTACTCACACACAATTTATTTGTAATCTTGAATTTTAAGTAATATACATCAATAAATAATACTTAATGTATACAAGATGATTTTTAAGAGTTTTTACTAATGTTTTATAATATAGTATAGATACATAAATTCACATTTATTAGATTAACAGTTCACTACTTATAATTTCCAAATAGATTGTATTTCTAATGGATATAATTTTGACTAATGTTAAAAAATACATGAGTAATTGTATTTATTTGAATCCAAAATTACGCAAGATGCGTTTTTTTTTATCGTAGAATATACAAATTGAGAATATATGGCATAATATGTGAGATTCTTAAGATCCATTCCCTACTAATTTAAGATAAATTACCTCCCTACTAATTTAAGATAAATTACCTGGGTAAGAGTCATCACCCTCACTTACCGAGTAAGACTCTTCATCTTTATCATTGTTCTTATCGGGTAAGATTTTGACCATTTTCATGTTCATCCGGTAAGGAAAATTATTCGGTACGCATTTACCAAGTAAACATTTAGTAAACGGCTCCTAAGAAACTTTGTACGTACTAAGGTATTTACAAGTGATTTATTTATATTGAGTTTTTGTTACCTTAGTTGATGTGCACAAGTTATACTAAATTTCGGAGATTTAGAGCGTGTTTACAGTATGTTTATAAATTATAATAATATTTCTAAAAAATGTTTCACAATATATTTACCGTATGTGTATTTTTTACGTATATTTATGTTACGGAAAAAGAAAAAGAAGTTTTTAAAAAAAAATTAAATTAAATTTTATTTTTTAATTAATCTAAACTAAATATTACGGATGTCATAAATTAGAAACTTATTGCAAGAGTACGATTTTTTTTAGCTAAAATAATGGATGAGTTTGATGACTTCCAAAAAATTTGGTTTACCCTCACTTTAAAAAATATGATATTTACTATAAGAGTAATCGTACAATGCAGTGAGACATATCTTGATTTTAATATTTTATTTTATTATTTGTCTATGTCGATGTTATAATACGCTTTTATGTTTTAAGAAAGCAATAATGATTTTATTTTTGAATAAAATATAAATTTGAATATATCATTAAAATTTGAAAAAAAAAATATCAATGTTAATATCAAATCAACTATTTAAAAGTTCTCATTTTTATGTAATTTCTTTAATTTTTTTATTATAATTTAATTTAAGTTTAATAACGAAATAATTTATTTTTGGTTTAATAACATAATATTTTATAAAGATAATAATTAAGTATTCTGTTAGAACTCAATGATTATCCTAATTATATTTTAGACTTTTTATATTAAAAATAAGATGTTTATTCCGTATTTGATTTAATTATGTTTTTCTACAGTTAGTTACACGAATTCAGATATGAAACTTTAATAAGTAGTACTTACGCACAATCTACTTGCAATCTTGAGTTTTAAGTAATATGCATTAATAAACAATACTTTACGCATAAAAAATGGTTTTTAAGAGTTTTTGTCAAATGCTTTATAATATAATATAAATATACAATAATTAAATTGAACAAATAAACTCACACACCCTTCTCACTTTTGATGGGGTTTAATTTTCTAAGAGTCTAATGACTCACATACCGCTAGGCCAAACACTCTTTGGTATTGGTTAACCCTAAATTAAATGTAATAAAAAAATATAAAAAATAGGTTAGCAGTTGGTATTATTAATTAGATAATTAATATTAAAATTCCATGATGTGTGTTTATGACAACCAAACATTCCAAGTGTTGTTTCTCCGATGATGGTGGATCTTTTTGTCATGTTGGGTGCTCAAGTCGTGGCATTTTTCAATTATCCATCTTTCTTTTTTAATTATTATTATTATTATTATTATTATTATTATTATTATTATTATTATTATTATTATTATTATTATTATTATTATTATTATTATTTCCAAATATCCCAATTCCAATTGCATATTTCCTCAAATTCTAAATGCTTCGATACAAGCATTTGTTTTCCCAAACACAACAATTCCATAAAACAAGACCACCACTTTATTATTGTTTAATCATCATTTCATGCTTATGTATAAAACTCATCGAATGTTTTTAAAAAAAGGAAAATTTAAGTTGTATTGTTTCATCTGAAACTCGGATGATCGGTAGGGCCGACTCTGAGATTTTGAATGCCTACGACGGAAAGTCAAAAAAATGCCCCTTATACGTGTAAATAAAAACCAAAATAAACTATTTGAAGGGTTTTGGAACCTAGTCAATCTAACAAAAAAATGCCCCTTAAATATAACAAAAATGATGCATCGGGGGGGGGGGGACATAAACCAAAACCCCGTGTAACAAAAGATAAAGTACATCACCATTCACCTAAAACGAAGTCTTCTTGCGTTTTTTGAAGCAACATAACTTAAGTAGTTAAATTGTTATACGATATAAAGAGTAGAAAGATAACACCTGGATTTGGTCCTTCGTGGTTCGTGTTGTGAAATTGCCAAGAAAGTGGAACGATTAAGCAACCTGAACAAATTGATAAAGGAGAAAACATAAGCAATTAAACATCAATCTAAACAGTAAAACAACCCTAAAATCAACAAATGCCAAATGGTTGTCATTTGTTTCTAATTCCACAAACCACGATAAATAAATAAATAAGTGCATCAATCTAAACAATAAAACCACCCTAGATTTAACAAATGCCAAATGGTTGTCATTTGTTTCTAATTCCACAAACCATAGTAAGTAAATAAGTGCATCAATCTAAATAGTAAAACAACCCTAAAATTAACAAATGCCAAATGGTTGTCATTTGTTTCTAATTCCACAAACCACAGTAAGTAAATAAGTGCTAACAGCTAACCTCAACAATAGAGTAAAAAATAAAATTAGAATATAAAACAAGAATTAGGTTTTACAATCAAACAACTAACAAGAATTAGAAACTTAAGAAATAAAATTAGTAAAGTAAATAAGTAATTAAAATATAAAATAACCCTAATACTTAAGTTCCTATTCGTATAATATACCCTAACCTACCACTAACCAGAATTGCTAAGTGAGCAAGGGGCTGTTTGGCAGTTGCTGAATGATTTAGTGCAGAATAGTTAAGAGGTCAGAATAGTTAAGAGGGTCAGAATGGTTAAGTGCTGAATGAAATAATATTGTTTGGTAACTGTTTTCTGAATGACAAAGTCGTAATTAGTTCATGAAATCCCATAATCAATGCCTCTGTG